ACGCACACAGGGCAAAACATAAGTCCCCGTTTTCGGACTCCGTCCGAACGGGGACTAAAAAAGACAAAAAGAGGATATCTGAGAGTACTTTTAAGCTGCTGTTAAATACTTTATTTTCGCTTGGAATTAATTTTCGCTATTTTCGCTGAAATAGTGATTCAGTGAAAATAAAATCCAGCGAATATACTATTTTTCATATATTTTACATTCAACTTGCCAAAAATCAATGAAAAATAAATTCCATACAAACCACCCCAAAAGTCTTTTCAACGAAAATTAATTCCAGCTAAAATAAAGTATTTAACAGTAATTTTGTTACACCTCACTTCATTGTCACTACAGTTCCCAAATTACTAAAACCAAATCATAGTTTTCAGTGAAAAATAAATTTGTTTCTAAAATATCCATTGTACATTGTACTCAAAATTCACAAAGTTGAAAAAAAATTATTTTACTATCAGTGCAAGGGATTTTTCATTTTTTTGCCTAGGACACCACAGTTCAAACCCACGTGCATGAACCATACCTGATTTTCAAGCTCTTTCATTCTGTTTTCAGCAGCGTGTAACTGCTGTCTATAACCTTCACTTTCATTGTGCATCTTCTCAATTTCATGTCGCAGAGTGGAATTATCTGATTCAGCTTTGGATAAAGCTTGCTTTGTTTCTTCAGATTCCACTGATACAGTAACTGTTTTCATCACCTCAACAACCTGTAACACAATATGAATGATGAGCAACTCGGCTTTAAATTGAAAACATTTGTTCCTTATATTCAATATTGATTGGAGTTCAGCTAACAGTCATCTTAAACTTAATTTTTTTTAAAATAAAGAAAATCGACACGCCAGAAGCTGGAGTTACCCAAAGAACAAAAAGCCCTGGCAGTAAATGAAGTATTCAGAGCACATTGATGTGAAGATTTTTTGAAAAAACTACACAACAACATCGCCACTGTGTTTGTTCCGTCCTGTTGTACCAATCGACTGCAACCCCTTGATCTTGCTGTCAACAAACCTTTCAAGGACTCGCTGAAATCTAACTTTCAATCATGATACACCGACTATATTTTGAAGGAACTGCAGACAGGAGCTGATATTTCTGATGTCAAAGTCAATGAAAATCACTTCATGCTAAATGGTTAGTGGAAGCCGTGCAGTCTATTCAAAATTGCAGAGAATTGTGGACACAGGGCTTCCAAACTGCTGGCATTACAGATCGACTAAAGCCACTTCGCGAACATGTGGATGACTAGTAAGTTGACAGTCACATGAATATCATTGTTGTTCTAAAAGAGGTCAAGTTTCAGAAAAGTATTTTTCAAGTTTTTAACTACTATTAAATGAACACTACCAGTACTTTGTTTTTCACTGCTTGAATGACGAGAATGCAAGATGTGTGTTGTGTACATCGGCGGTGATACAGCACCCCCAGCAGTGAAATTAAAATAAATATTAACCTCTAAACAAAATTGTCACGCATTTTAATTTTACCTTAGAGAGCTACCTCCACAAAATAAGCAAACATTTTACTCCGCGAATAATTTCTCATTCTACAGTAACCATCACATAGTCACCACATGGTCACCATTATCATTGTATAGTCACCATTATCATTGTATCACCATTATCATTGTATGGTCACCATTATCATTGTATGGTCACCATTATCATTGTATGGTCACCATTATCATTGTATGGTCACCATTATCATTGTATGGTCACCATTATCATTGTAAAGTCACCATTATCATTGTATAGTCACCATTATCATTGTATGGTCACCATTATCATTGTATGGTCACCATTATCATTGTATGGTCACCATTATCATTGTATGGTCACCAGTCATCACATGGTCAACATGTATTAAACACGGTCACCACATACTCGCCACACGGTCACCACATACTCGCCACACGGTCACCACATACTCGCCACACGGTCACCACATACTCGCCACACGGTCACCACATACTCGCCACACGGTCACCACATACTCATCACATGGTCACCACATACTCATCACATGGTCATCACATAATCATCACATGGTAACCACATACTCATCACATGGTCACCACATACTCATCACATGGTCACCACATACTCATCACATGGTCACCACATACTCATCACATGGTCACCACATACTCATCACATGGTCACCACATACTCATCACATGGTCACCACATAATCATCACATGGTAACCACATAATCATCACATGGTAACCACATAATCATCACATGGTCATCACATGTTTTACTATTATAATTCATTACCTTTGGATTTGCTTTTAACTCTGACAACTCAGTAATTGATTGTCTTAGCTTGTCTTCCAACAAGTGAATTTCAGAGTTATATTTCTTTTCAAGTGATTTGAGTTCCAACTCTTTCTCATTGCGTTGGTCTGTAAGACTTGACACATCTTTTTCAAGTGCATTCAATTGCATTCTCAGCTTTGAGTTCTCATCTTCAAGTTTCTGTTGAAATAATTATCAAAAGTTTTTTTTTAGTTTCATTTTATTATTTATAATAAAAATCATGACATACTGTAAACTTCAAGTGATGCATTAATTTATATTAATATTAATATAATATTAATATATATTATATATAATATTATAATATTAATATTATATTACACTAGATTGGCAATTTAACACCAAGGAATGAAGATGAAAAAAAAAGACAAAAAGAGGATATCTGAAAGAGTACTTTTAAGCTAATTTTGTTACACCTCACTTCATTGTCACTACTGTTCCCACATTACTAAAACCAAATCATAGTTTTCACAGTAAAAAATGACTTATTATTTTCGATTATATGTACAATTTGGTTCAACTGTTTCTAGTTTAAGCAGCTGTGATTTGTGATTTCCCTTATCTGGTATTAATTACAAGGCAGTAAAATTCAATCTTTATAATGTCACTATATAATGTAACATCATCGATGTCACCAAAATCTAAAATCATGCATAACTTAAATTAACCAAAAAAAAAACCAAAAATAAAAACATTTTACAACCATTGCATCATATTTTGGAAAGACAAATTATAGCTTCAAAGGGTAATTGGATTACTTTGGTTATGATTATCTAACTCTGGCAAAATGATACAGATTCTTTGAGTTCATTGGTAAACATTTACAGTTAATCGGCTACTCAACAAAATACGTCTTTATTGGAGTCAAGTTTACCAAACACTTTATGCTAGTATACTAGAAACCACTATAAATTAGTAGATAATCATTCATGTACCTGGATCTCAAGTGAATCTTTTGTTTCCCCGACACCATTACTCATACTGCCATTATGTACTTGCGACTTTGTCTCTTGCAGTTCCATCTGTAGCCTAGCATTAGCAATTTCTAACTTATTCAATTGCTTCTCATGGTCTGTTACACCCTGTATATAAATACAAATGTTATAAATTTCAGAGAACTTTGGTTTGTGAACACAATCCATCTTTGTTATGTGCAACATTCTTGTAAATATGGTATTGTGTCATTTGCGTGATTCATTGCTAGTATCAGAATACCATGATTCCAAAACAAACTAAAAGTTTGATAAACAGTTTTGGCATTTTCTCCAAAAATTAACAAAACAAACAAATGTTGGTGATGTCATGGAGCTTGTTGATGATGTCATGGAGCATGTTGGTGATGTCATGGAGCTTGTTGGTGATGTCATAGAGCATGTTGGTGATGTCATAGAGCATATGTCATAGCACATGTTTTTGATGTGCAAATTATTAAAAATTATATTCAGTTATTAAAAATTGTTTTTCTTTTAATTTCTTTTTTTCTGACTAATTGAAAGTAAGTGAGACGTTTTGTAGACAGCTACCAATTTTATGTTTCATTTTACCTGGAAACTCTTCATCTTCATCAATTCAACTTTGACCTCATTATAGTCACGATTCAAATCTTGTAATTGAGATCTCAAATCTTCCTCTGTCTTCTGCCATTCTTGTCTACCATTCTCTATTTGATTTTCAGCTAAAAACACTTTCTCAGTCAACTGCGCTTTCTCTACATGTAATCTTTCTATGGCCTCCACTAGTCTTTGCACACCAGATGAGGTTTTTTTACTTCGTGGACTTGCAGTAACACCTACATAGTGAAGTTTGGTATAATGTTGAAACAAGTTAGCAACACTTCACAATACATGTATAGTGTTTGTCGCATTTCCAAAATCTTGTTAAAAATAGAACTGATGGACAACGTGGTAGATCTTTTCAACCTCACTTACTTTTCACTAGAAACATACACATAATTCTTTTAAGCGTATTTACCTTTCAGTTCAGCTTCTAATTCAAATATCTTGGCCTCCTGTTCCTCTATAACATCCTGTAAGTTTTTACTGAGCTCTCGTTTTTCATCAAGATGCGACTCATGGGTTTTTCTCATAATCAGGATCTGCTGTTTTTTACTCGCTTCTTCCTTGGCTAGACTGGATTTATACAACTTGTTCTTATCTGTTAAAACCTGCAAAGAACAAATCAAGCCAATAAAGAACATTGAGAACTTGAAATATATAATCCTCAAAGGTAGCTAAAGATCTAATAAGGGAACGTAACAGGTGTAACTGGTGTGACAAGACAAAGACCTATCTAGAACTACTAACACTAGTGAGTTTGTGAATGAAATGTAGTTTTTTTTATAGTGCGCACGGTGAGTTTTTACCCATTGAGTAAGATCACATGCCCTGGGATTCAACACTGAATAGGGTTTAACTGCTCTCTCTGTGTCACACAGACTCAGTAGGAGTTGGGGGGGGGGGGGGGGGGTTTGTCCAGGTTGATGCCAAGATTGCACATTAAATTGCAAAATGGTCACACAGCCCTTGTCAGTCCCAAACAAGGAATGTGGTTTCTGTAGCAAAATGCACTGTATATACTATCATGACATTCAATGTTGGGACTAGATGCCCTCAACAAAAATATATTTAAAAAAAAATACTCAAGTCTTGAAACGCAGTACAATAACAAAATGGTTACCTTTATTCTGAACATCAAATCTGCTCTCTGTTTGTCTCTTTCATCAAGCTCTATTTGCATAGCTTGAAATTCAAGCAATGAACACTGACCTGCAATAACAAAACACAATAAATACACAGACAAAAATAGATGACAGAAAAGAAGAATTTAAGGTTGTCAACTTTGATATGATGCAGAAAAAATATAGCAACTACAGCTGTCACCTAGAACATTTACAGTTTGTATGGAGTTGGACTTTTTGTCTTTACGTTTGTTGTATGCTGCCCTCAATGGTAGATGTCAGTAAATGTTTGATGAATATGCCACAAGCATCGGCACCCTTCAGTTTTAACTGACTTGCTCGTATTTGCTCTATAAAGTGTGCATTTCCAAAAAATTACACATGTTGAATACTTGAATTAGTAAAATATGATTTATTTGGATCATAACATAGATACACCTTAAGTAATTTACCATGATGTAAGTGCATGTACTACTACTGAAGCAAGTACGTTATCAGGCTTATTAACAGAATATAATTTGAGTTCCAAGTTTGACATATGACAGAGAAGTCTGTTCAAAGGCTGTAATAAGCAGTAGAATTAATCAACATACCCTAAACCAACAATCCATAAGTTGCATATTAATTTAGGAATTTCAGATGCATATCATCAACAATGACAAAACTAATTAATGGTGATTGATTCCAACTTACTTGGGCCTGATAACTGGTCCGCTTCAGGATCTTCATCTCCACTGGAAATACTGGCATCAGATATACCTGTAAAAGCAACGAGTTATATATAAAGTTTTCTTATTTGTATATACTGCCCTCTAGTGGCAATAGTAGAATTTTTTTTCTTCTTCTAAAGTCTATGTTATTAGTATCATAACAAAAATCAATTAAAATTTAACTGTTAAAAAAAGCAAATAAATAAAAAGTAACAGAACGCCAGCATTCATTATGAAACATTGCTGGCTGGCAATGCTCGTAACATAATATGCAATATGGTGAACAATCAGCTGATAAATTCAGATAGTGCTAAATTAGAATTGAGTCAACTGTACATGACATAATAAAAGACCAAGTGACACACTAATATTTTATTCATTTCCAAACCATGTTTAAGTTATCCAATCTACATGCAACAAATTGAAACCACCAAAGAGATGCGGATGTAATTCCGGATGTCAAATGGGTAGAACATGTGATACAGTGACAAGATACCACACAGCATGGCACCATAAAGTTCATGATCTTAGATATATTAGAAACATGAAACACAGCTGGGATATTTTAGAATTCGGAGTTATTTTATCAGTTCAACTGAATTATTGTAATTAAATCAATTGAGGTATTAATAAAAACACACTGCCCTCTAATTTCACAGAGGGGTTCATAAAGAGAAAACAACACACTGATCAAAACAGCTTCTGATCTCTTTGTTTATCTTTGTGATAGTTGTTTCAAAATACATAATTATTTATTTAATTGCTGCAGAAATTTGACATTAAGATCACAGCACGATCAAATGCTCTTAGTAATAAATATTACAATTAATTTTGCTGTTTGTTTACGTTGGTCACTCCCAATGCTACAAAAACAAATATTTTACGAACATGTTTTCACTTCAGCTTAGTTAGTATTGGTAATTGTCAAATCATTAGTTTTTACCAGAATTATTTTGCAGGGCTTTAGACTGATTGAACTTGTGAAGGAAATATTTTAAAGTGCATCAAGGCATTCTCATAGGAATCACCTCCATGGCCTCTTTGAATTTCGTGACCTGATTTAAAGGTGTCCCACTTTTATTGTAGTTTGGTCAAAATCAACATTTCAACAAACTATTAGTGAATAAGCTTAAATGGGTACAACTTGCTGAACATTAAACCCCTTGTAAGAGGCAACCTGCACAGTTATTCCATGGTGAAGATCACTGTACATGGACCCAAGGGAGTGACAAGCTTTTAACATGCCATCTGGCAACACTTTGAATTTTAACCCACAATGGACAGTCAAGCATGAAATTGAGTGTACAAGATCAACATGCAAAGACAATATGATAACACTCAAGTGTTCCCAAGGATCAAAAAGAAAAGGACAATTCTTAAAAAGACCAATTTTTTTTTTTTTTTTAATTCCAGATACCTAGTTGCCAAATGATGTATAATATAGGAGACCAGGCAGTACTGGTACATGTATGTATAGAAACAAGCATCTTCTCCTTGATACCAAGCCATCCCAAGTACCTGTATCATCTGCATATCTCAATATAGTATACTATAAAATCAAATTGTCATGTTATTGGAGGAATTTTGTTCAAATGTCACCATTTTCCATGGCAACTCACTGCCTACATATGCAATAATTAGCGCAATTTATTCCGATAAAAATATTACATTGTTATAACAGTGAATTATGTTTGGCTAGTGAGAGTGTGTTATTACCCAGTATTTACAATACAGTACTATGGAGATAGCAACAGATGTTATTAAGTGGTCACTTAAACACAGAAATAAAAACTATTATTGTCAGAATTGATAATACTCATTACAGCACTACTGTTTCCCCACACTACAAATCAGTGTGGCGTGGTCCTTTTCAAATTGAGGTGGTTGCTATGGTAACACATTACTACAACACCTCAGGTCAGTGCGGTCTGCCCGTACCCAACAGCTGTTACAGTATTTCATGCAATTGTTATACAGCATATTGTCTTTATTTTGACATGTTTTTACAATTTCATTATATAGCTAGCCACATGCATTTTGAATTTCCAAACATGTGAACCATATTTCATCTATTAAAAGACCATGTTATGTAAATTATAAGGGTACAAGGGTAAGATCTATGGAGTAAAGACTAATAGGGGGTCCTATTTGACAATCAGTGATGCTCCATCAGTGATGGGTCATAGGTTGGACAGCACACGCATGTACTTTTGAAAATAGCATGGGAGCTAAAAATGGCTCTCCTGAACACAGTGATGAGAGTACGTGGAGGACCTGTTCTAATACAATCTCTTCAAAAATGTTAATGAACTGATAGAGATAATTAGCAGATCTTTGATTTGGGTGAGATAGACAAGTGTGATCGCTAGCCTTATAAAGCTATGTTTAAAATCAGTGGCTGATAGTGGTGTAGAGAGGGACGAATGCACTTCTGATAGAGGAAATAGATCAAGTGTGAAACACCTTTCCAATAACAATTGGCCTCCTGAGACAAAACCAAAATGATGTAGATACATTTGTAAGAATGGGGTTCAAATAAACAACTCTTAGATTATGTAATCGTTTGTCATTTAGAATATAGTAAATTCCACAGAACAGTTATTTAATTGGCAGATGACTATTATCTATTAATGCCACAGAAGTACTTTGTCACTAGAGGGTGCACTACTAGCTTGTAAGAACATTGCATCTAGAAATGTACTTGGAATTTAAAGGAAATATGGTAGAATGGAAATGTGTAATGCTAAAAATAATTTCAAGGTTTTTGATGTACAAAATACGTGCAACTTTTTCAAACTAAATTTTTCTATTCATATGTAACATGACACATTTGTATCACTTTTCGTAAGCTATACTATCTACTGCTTGGTTTGATGTCGACCCATTTCACAAGTTACATTGTGTGATATCTTAAAATAGCTACGGCTCCAATTAGACCGTAACCCAAGTTTACGCTATTGACATGGTTCAACCAACCATTTAAGTATTAAATACAAGTAAATAGAAGTAGAGTTAAAATAAATAGCTAATGTTAATATCATACGTTTTATTGGAGGTCACAGTTTGGTCAATAGCCTTAAAAATATTTGTATATTAAATATTTTGCCTCATCAATATAATAAGATATTCATTAATATCTAGCCAATAAACACATATAAGCTAATTTCAAGAATTCAGTCTCCAGAAGCCAAACTTGTTGAAACAGATTATATTGATACTCTATGTTGATCTTCAATGTAGCAATTAATAAAAATTAATTATTGATTGTTATTTGTATCTTAGCCTTAACCTATCACTAACAAGAGTTGGCAGAGCCATCTCGATGCTGGGAAAATAAGAGTAGTTAAAGGTGTGTTTTGGAGCAATGGATTGGCGAACAGGCAGAAAAGCGATTTCAAAAAACTTTGACTTTGTTTTAATAAAAAATTGAAGTATTATTATTTATTTATTTTGCAAACTCAATTTTTAACTGAAGGAATTAAACTAAATTAAATAATCATGTTAGAAATGACTACTGTTCAACTCCGGATGTTTAATTGTACTTAGCGTATGTTACTATGACAATCAACCAATTCGAGAAAAACAGTCGACAATGACTAAATGCATGGCCATAGCCAAATCGCTGTTTGATTGAAATAAAAAAATCAAAGAAAACAGAGAACTCTAAGACAGGAAGAGAAACACGAGCGATGTATACGAACAACAGGCATTACGGCAGCCAAGTTTGTTTCTCCTCGATCAATGCGTGGGTATGTGGAAGTTCATGGCCAAGCGTACTGCGGTCAAGAACAAGGTAAGAAATAACGTGACGAGACCATCTTGATTTGCCGTCGATTTCCGGGTTCGGGTGCGGGTGCGTTTCATACAAGAAGATTGATACGAACTACACCGCCGAGTGTAGTAGACATAATCCCGATGGCAATAGGAAGTTCGAAGGAAGCTAATACAGTTGATTTATAACAGACAAAGTAAATGGATATCACTTTTCAGTCCTTGTTGAGACACAAACGTAATTTAATACACACTACTACAGTTTGACTAAAGTTTACAAACACCACGGTCAGTCACACAAAGTCCCCCAAATTCAACAGGGATTTTTAAATGCAACGGGGAACACGAGACGAACAATTGTGTTTACTTAGATGACGACTCCACGCTATACGCAGCGTAAAAATGGCAATTTAAACTTTGCTTGCAGAATTTCCCGGGCAGATTTATATAATAATACAGTTCGATAACACGGCCAGTCACATAAAATCCATCAAAAGGGAACTGCAAGTCGTATATCAGAAATTCGTAACACATAATTCAACAAAATTACTCATCATTTGTAAATTCAATTCCTCGGAAAAGTATAAAAAACATTTTTATAAACAATTTTATATATACCGTACTCGACCGCGTTAGCGCCCAGGGG